AGTGACTTATGATTGCATCAAGGCACTCAAGTCTGGGCTACAAAATTAGATCTTGTCTCATATATATACACACACACATATATATATATATGACTATTCATACAATATGAAAAAATTTATATTACAGAAATTATATCCTCATAGGAATATATAATTTCATATATTCATATTCATAAATTAATGTTTATACATTATTTTATATATATCATACATATATGAAAAATAACTTGATAACTTTGAGATAGGGAAATTTTTTTTTTTTTTTTTTTTTTTTGTGAATTTTTACTCTGTTTCCCCGGCTGGAATATAATAGCACAATCTCGGCTTACTGCAACTTCCACCACCCAGGTTCAAGCAATTCTCCTGCCTCAGTCTCCTGAGTAGCTGGGATCACAGGCGTGCACCACCACACCTGGCTAATATTTGTATTTTCAGTAGCAACAGGGTTTCACCATGTTGGCCAGGTTGGTCTTGAACTTCTTACCTCAGGTGATCCACCCGCCTTGGCCTCCCAAAGTGCTGGGATTACAGGCATGAGACACTGCCCCTAGCCAAAAGATTTCCTTTAAAAGACACAATGGGCAGAAGTCATAAGGCAAAGTTGATAAATTTCACACACAAAAAGAAGCTGGAAGAGGAGGGGCCACAGTTGCTCACGCCTGTAATCCCAGAACTTTGGAAGGCTAAGGTGGGAGGACTGCTTGAGGCCAGGAGTTTGAGACCAGCCTGGGCAACATAAAAAGACCCTGTCTCTACCAAACAAAAAAAAAAAGAAAAGAAAAATTAATACATTTGACAGTATCAAAAGGTACCATTCAGAGAGGGAATAGATTAACCACAAACAGAAGATATATATAGCAAATACAACTGGCAAAGAATTGGAATTCAGAATATATGAATAGCTGTGATTCAAAAAGAAAAATATCTAATAGAAAAATAAGCAAAAGAAATAAGTAGCAACAGCCCAGAAGAAAAAGATAAATGGCCCATACATCTCATTAGTAATCAGCAGGTCTCTCAATACTTGACAGATCTACACATTGTGCCCAAGCATTCATCACTATTATACTGAAGAGCGTGAATTCAAACTCAGAATGTTAGGCTCCAGAGCTTGTTCTCAATTGCGATATCCAACTTCGTCCTACAACTCAAGTCTTGAAATGTAATTTTTTAAGTGAAATCAGTGATGCAAATTTCAAAAAAGGAGCAAATTTTGGACTGGTCTGAAAACTCTGCGGCTGGGTGCTGTGGCTCATGCCTGTAGTCCCGGCACTTTGGAAGGCCAAGATAGAGGGGACTGCATGAGCCCAGGAATTCGATACCAACAAGGACAATACAGTGAGACCCAGTCTCTACAAAAAATTAAAAATTAGTCAGCCATGGTGGCATACACCTGTAGTCCGAGCTACTCAGGAGGCTAAGTGGGGGGATTGTTTGAGCTCAGGAGGTAGAGGCTACAGGAAGCCATCCACCACTGCACTCTAGCCTGGATGACAGAGCAAGAACCTGCCTCAAAAACAAATAAAAAGAAGAAGAAAAAACCTCTGAGCCAAATGTTTGGTTTTATGCAGTAAAAAGGGGTAATTTTACAGCTGAATATTTGATTTGTAGTAAAAATACAACCATTACCTCAGAGTTAGTTGCACTGCATATTTCTGCTGAAGCATCCACACTCATGTTCAGAGGAGTTTTCTTTCATTCCAACTGTGTGTGTAGGCCACATGTGGTAGCTCATGCCTGCAATCCCAGCACTTTGGGAAGCCAATACAGAAGAATCATTTGAAACCAGAGTCCAAGACCAGCCTGGACAACATGGTGAAAACCCATCTCTACAAAAATTAGTTGGGGGTGGGCTCACACTTGTGGTCCCAGCTACTCAAGAGACTGAAGTAGGAGGATTGCTTGAGCCCAGAAAGTCGAGGATGCAGGAAGCTGTGATCGTGCCACTGCACTCCAGCCTGGATGACAAGAGTGAAATCCTGTCTAAAAAGACAAAAAAAATTTTTTTATCTGTGAGATAGAAACAGTACCAGTTGTTTTATTTTACAGATAGAAAATGGAAGCAATTGGCAGCAAACCCCAGGACAGCGTAAACTAAATTGATAACACCGGCTAGGTGCGGTGGCTCATGCCTGTAATCCTAGCACTTTGGGAGACCGAAGCAGGCAGATCACCCGAGGTCAGAAGTTCAAGACCAGCCTAGTCAACATGGTGAAACCCCATCTCAATTAAAAATACAAAAACTAGCTAGACATGGTGGCTCACGCCTGTAGTCACAGCTACTCAGGAGACTGAGACACGAGAATCACTTAAACCCGGGAAGCAGAGGTTGCAGTGAACTGAGATCACACCACTGCACTCCAGTCTGGGTAACAGAGTGAGACTCGGTCTCAATCAATCAATCAATCAATACCACCACCAACAGTTAATTATGAGAGTCTCTTAGAAGCACCATAGTATTAAAGTCCATTCACAAAAGTGCTAATGCTGGATGTTGTAGTTATCCCTTGAGACCATGAACACCATCTTTTCTGGATACTCCATAGCCTTGGTTTTTCATGTGTGTGTTTGCTTGCTTGCTTATTTATTTGAGACATGGTCCCACTCTGTCACCCAGACTGGAGTTCGGTAGCATGATCACAGCTCACTGCAGTCTCCACCTCACAGACTCAAGTAATCCTTCTACCTCAGTCTCCCAGATAGCTGGGACTACAGGCCCATGCAATCATGCCCAGATAACTTTTTGGTTTTTTTGTTTGTTTGTTTTGTAGAGATGGGGTTTTACCATGTTGCCTAGACTGGGCTCAAACTCCTGGGCTCAAGCAATCCTCCTGCCTTGACTTCCCAAAGTGCTGGGATTACAAGCATGAGCCAAAATGCCTGGCCTTCTGTAAGTTTAATGCTCAATGACTGACTTGCAGTATGGTCAGCATGTTGCTGATGCAGCTCTGCCCATCTGTGGTAAATGGCTGAACACTTACTTGAAGCAGCAGAGGTTCTGTACTCATTCATTCATTCATTCTTCATTCCCCTACATTTGGACCTCATCTACTAAGTGACATTTATAAATCACTGAAGATACTTAGAGCTTATTTGAAGATGCTTATTTGCACACAAATCACGAAAAGTGGCAGCATGGGAAAACAGAAAGTGCACTGATCAGGGATTGAAAACCCACTGGTTTTGAGAACTAGCTCTGCCAACATCCAGATTCTTTTCTGGAACAAGTAACTTCATCTCTTTGAATCTCAGCTTTCTTACCTGTTAGTGGGAATGAAAGTTGGGCACCCAAGGTAGATCAAACAGCATGAAAAGGCAGAGAATCAGAAAACCTTGAGAAGAAACAAAACTGGGGATGCATTTTAGTTAGACCAGCCCAGATTCTTAAAGCTAGCTACCCATTACGGCCACCTGAGGAAATTTTTTAGTTACTCCACATTTGAGATTCTATTCATTTGTCTGGGACAGGGCTTAAGTATTAGTATTCCAATACAACAATTTTCCAACTTTAGCAAGCATCAGAGTCACCGGAAGAGCTTGGTAAAACACAGACAGGTCAGGCACAGTGGCTCACTGCCTGTAATCACAGGGCTTTTGGAAGCCGAGATGAAAGGATCATTTGAGGCCAGGAGTTTGAGACCAGTCTGGGCAACAAAACAAGGCCTTGTCTCTACAAAAATATTTTTAAATTAGCTGGACGTAGTCGTGCACCTATAATCCTAGCTAAGGCAAGAAGATCACTTGAGCCCAGGCGTTTGAGGCTGCAGTGGTCTTTGATCATACCACTGCAGTCTAGCCTGGGAAACAGAGAAGAGTCCCTGTCTCAAAAACAAACAAACTAAAATCCACATAGATAGTTGGGCCCCACCCCCAGAGTTTCTGATTCAATAGGTCTGGGGCACTCCTAAGAACTGCAGGTCTAGCAAGTTCCCAGGTGATGCTGAGACGCTGATGTTGGAGATCTACTCACCTGGAGAACCACTCAAAGTGTGTGCAGAAAGGATTAGTAGAAAATGCCAAAGGCCAAGCATGGTGGCTCACACATGTAATCCCATCATTTTGAGAAGCTGAGGTGGGAGGACGGTTTGAGGCCAGGAGTTAACCAGACCAGCTGCAGCAACATAGCAAGACCCTGTGGCTACAAAAAAAAAAAAAAAAAAGGAAGAATTAGCTGGGTGTGGTGGCACAGTTCTGTAGTCCTAGCTGCATGGCACACTGAGGTGGAAGGATGGCCAGAGCCCAGGAGATGGAGGCTGCAGTCAGTTATGATCATCCCATTGCACTCTAGCCGGGATAACAAAGCAAGACCCTGTTTCTGAAAAAGGAAGGGAAAGGAGGAAGAGGAAGGGGAATGGGGAAGGGGGAAGGGGGAAAGGGAGACGGGGGACGGGGGACGGGAGAGAAAGGAAAGAAAGAACCGAAAGGAAAGGAAGAAAGAGCCGAAAGGAAAGGAAGAAAGAAAACGGAAAAAAGAAGAGAAAAGGTGGGTGTGGTGGCTCACACCTGTAATCCCAGCAGGCGGAGCGGATCACCTAAGGTCAGGAGTTCCAGACCAGCCTGGCCAATAAGGCGAAACCCCGTCCATACTAAAAATACAAAAATTAGCCCCTTCTCTCCCGCGGTTAGTGCTGAGAGTGCGGAGTGTGTGCTCTGGGCTCGGAAAACACATTTATTATTTTTAAAATCCAAAAACGTCTTTTAAAAAATCTTTTCAAACCTCTGCCCGCCAAAAAAAAATTTGCAAAACTCCGCGTCTCCTACGCCAGAGAATTTTTTCTCTTCCTCTTTTATAAAATAACCCGGTGAAGGGGCTGAGGCCGACCCGGCCGCCCGCGACCCCGAAGCAGCTCCAAGAAGGAACTCAAGAGACCGAGTGCTTCCCGATACCTGGAGCCAACACCTCCATCCTCGCTCCCCGCCGGGAACTGGAAGTTGGAAGCTGGAAACCGGAAACCGGGAGCCGGAAGCCGGAAGCCGGGAGCTGGGATCCGGAAGCCGGAAGCCAGCAGCAGCGGATCTACACCGTTCTGTGGCGGTTGAGCAGCCTTCGATTCCGGTTGATTTTTGTCCCTCTGAGCTTGCGCTTGCCGCAACTCCACTATCCGCTGGTTCCAGCCCTGGCACTCGCTGTCCTCCTCTGACGGGAAGGTCGTGGCCTGTGGCCCTGCGGCCAACTGTGCCGAGTGGAGCTCCAGCGTCCCCCCACTACCCCATGGCCTCGCTTTACGTGGGAGACCTCCACCCCGACGTGACCGAGGCGATGCTCTACGAGAAGTTTAGCCCCGCCGGGCCCATCCTCTCCATCCGGGTCTGCAGGGACATGATCACTTGCCACTCCTTGGGCTACGCGTATGTGAACTTCCAGCAGCAGGCGGACGCGGAGCGTGCTGTGAACACCATGAATTTTGATGTTATAAAGGGCAAGCCAGTACGTATCCTGTGGTCTCAGCATGATCCATCGCTTCGAAAAAGTGGAGAGGGCTTCATATTCATTAAAAATCTGGACAGATCCATTGATAATAAAGCACTGTATGATACATTTTCTGCTTTTGGTAACATCCTTTCATGTAAGGTGGTTTGTGATGAAAATTGTTCCAAGGACTATGGATTTGTACACTTTGAGGCACAGGAAGCAGCTGAAAGAGCCATTGAAAAAATGAATGGAATCCTCCTAAATGATCGCAAAGTATGTATTGGAAGATTTAAGTCTCTTAAAGAACGAGAAGCTGAACTTGGAGCTGTGGCAAAAAAGTTCACCAATGTTTACATCAAGAATTTTGGAGAAGACATGGATGATGAGCGCCTTAAGGAACTCTTTGGCAAGTTTGGGCCTCCCTTAAGTGTGAAAGTAATGACTGATGAAAGTGGAAAATCCAAAGGAATTGGATTTGTAAGCTTTGAAAGGCATGAGGATGCACAGAAAGCTGTGGATGAGATGAATGGAAAGGACCTCAATGGAAAACAAATTTACGTTGGTCGAGCTCAGAAAAAAGTGGAACGGCAGATGGAACTTAAGTGCAAATTTGAACAGGTGAAGCAAGATAAGATCACTAGATACCACGGTGTTAATCTTTATGTGGAAAATCTTGATGATGGTATTGATGATGAACATCTCCAGAAAGTGTTTTCTCCATTTGGTACAATTACTAGTGCAAAGGTTATGATGGAGAGTGGTCTCAGCAAAGGGGTTGGTTTTGTTTGTTTCTCCTCACCAGAAGCAGCCACTAAAGCAGTTACAGAAATGAACGGTAGAATTGTGGCCACGAAGCCATTGTATGTAACTTTAGCTCAGCGCAAAGGATTGCGCCAGGCTCACCTCACTAACCAGTATATGCAGAGAATGGCAAGTGTACAAGCTGTGCCCAACCCTGTAATCAACCCCTACCAGCCAGCACCACTTTCAGGTTACTTCATGGCCGCTATCCCACAGACTCAGAACCATGCTGCATACTCTCCTCCTAGCCAAATTGCTCAACTAAGACCAAGTCCACACTGGAATGCTCAGGGTGCCAGACCTCATCCATTCCAAAATATGCCAGGTGCTATCGGCCCAGCTGCTTCTAGACCACCATGTAGTACTATGAGACCAGCTTCTTCACAGGTTCCACAAGTCATGTCAGCACAGTATGTTGCTAACACATCAACACGGACAATGGGTCCATGTCCTGCAGCTGCAGCTGCAGCTGCTGCAGCTAATTCTGGAGTTCGCAATCCTCAGCAACATCTTCATGCACAGCTACAGTTTACAATGCAGCAGCCTGCTGTTCATGTACAAGGTCAGGAACCTTTGATTGCTTCCATGTTGGCATTTGCCCCCCCTCAAGAGCAAAAGCAAATGTTGGGTGAACGGCTGTTTCCTCTTGTTCAAGCCATACACCCTACTCTTGCTGGTAAAATCACTGGCATGTTGTCAGAGACTGATGTTCAGAACTTCTTCCTATGTTCGAGTCTCCAGAGTCACTCTGTTTAAGGTTGATGAAGCTCTAGCTGTACTACAAGCCCACCAAGCTAAAGAGACTGCCCAGAACGCAGTTAACAGTGCCACCACTGTTCGAACTGTTTAAAATTGATCAGGGACCATGAAAAGAGACTTGTGCTTCACTGAAGAAAAATATCTAAACATTAAAAAATGTAAATATTATGGAAAAAATTGCAAATAAATAAAGGAAACTTTGAACCTTATGTACCTAGCAAATATCAGGTCTAGCAAACACAATGCTAGTCCTAGATTACTTATTGATTTAAACACACACACACACACAAAATAGTAAAATATAAAAACAAATTAATGTTTTATAGACCCTGGGGAAAAGAATTTTCAGTAAAGTACAAAAATTTAAAGCATTCTTTCCTTTAATTGTGCAATTTTTTTTTAATTGCATTTTAGGTTTTGGGGTACATGTGAAGAACATGCAAGATTGTTCCATAGGTACACACACGGCAGCGTGATTTGCTGCCTTCCTCCCCTTTACCGATATCTGGCATTTCTCCCCATGCTATCTCTCCCCAACTCCCCACCCCCCACTGTCCCTCCCCTATTTCCCCCCCAACAGACCCCAGTGTGTGATGTTCCGCTCCCTGTGTCCATGTGTTCTCTTTATTCAACACCTGCCTATGAGTGAGAACATGCGGTGTTTGATTTTCTGTTCTTGTGTCAGTTTGCTGAGAATGATGGTTTCCATCATCCATGTCCTTAAAAGGACACAAACTCGTCTTTTTTGATGGCTGCATAATATTCCATGGTGTATTCTGTTTTAAGTAACAATTGATAACTGAGCAAGGAAATGTAATTTGGGTTATAAAATTCTTGCTGTAATAAAAATTCCTTAAACAGTGAAAAGAATGATAAATAAAAATACAAAATTTAGCTGGATACAGTGGCACACGCCCGTAATCCCAGCTATTTGGGAGACTGAGGCAAGATAATCAGTTGAACACAGGAGGCGGAGGTTGCAGTGAGCTGAGATCATGTCACTGCACTCCAGCCTGGGTGACAGAGCAAGACTCCATCTCAAAAAAGAAGGAAAAAGAAAATGCCAGAAGGGTATTTTAGTGCATATGCTTTTTTCTTTGCATTAAATGAGGAACATAATATCACCCTGAAATTCCACTCCATTTTGTTAACCATCTGCAGAGGATTTCGCTTTTAAAATACATGTGTTAAGGAACAGGCAACAGAGATTGTCCCTTAGGCAGGAAGCTGATGAGTAAAGCAGACTTTTCCCCCCACTGTATACATTTGATACTGCATTAATTTGCATCATATGCATGTATCAACTAATTAATTGTAAAGCCAACAAAACCTTCGCTCAACTTAATGAATAACAAAAGTAATAGAGGGACCCTCTGACTTATATATGGCTATTAGCTACCGCATAGATTCTGTTATCCCAATATACCTTGCACTATAGCAAGGAACACGTGATCATTTGTGATCATTTCAGTAGTTACAAAAGATTACAAAAAGGGGAGAAAGGAGGAAAGGAAGAAAGGGAAAGAGGGAAGAATAGAAAGGAAAGGAAAATACAGGCTGGTATAATGAAGTTGGTGCCGGGCGTGGTGGCTCACACCTGTAATCACAACACCCTGGGAGGTCACGGTGGGTGGATCACTTGGTCTCAGGAATTCTGAGACCAGCCTGGGCAACATGGAGAAACCCCATCTCAATGAAAAATACAAAAATTAGCCGGGCATAGTGGTGCACGCCTGCAGTCCCAGGTACTCAGGAGGCTGAGGTGGGAGGATCACTTGAGCCCAAGAGGTTAAGGCTGCAGTGAGTGGTGATTGCACCACCACACTCCAGCCTTTTGAAACAGCGAGAGCTTGTCTCAAAAATAGTGGCTCACACCTGTAATCCCAGCACTTCGGGAGGCCAAGGCAGGCAGATCATTTGAGGTCAGGAGTTCAAGACCAGCCTGACCAACATGGCGAAACCCTGTTTCTAATAAAAATACAAAAAATTAGCTGAGAGTGGTGTCACGTGCCTGTAATACCAGCTACCCAGGAGGCTGAGCCAGGAGAATCGCTTGAACTGGGGAGGTGGAGGTTGCAGTGAGCCAAGATTGTGCCACTGCACTCCAGCCTGGGCTACAGAGCAAAAGTCTGTCTCAATAATAATAATAAAATAAAGTTAGTGATTTGTGCTAAGCCAATTTCCCTTTCGGGGAAAAATATCACATCAGAAAACTAAAAAATATTATGATTAAAAAGTATGAAACAGAATTTAAGAAAAAGACATGAAGTCAAGGGTAAGTTGCCAATTGATAACAATATTTTAAAATACTTTGTGGAGGGAAGATCCATGTCATAAAGACTTAGAAAAAACAGAGAAGAAAAACAAGCCTATCACCTGTATCTATCTAAATCTCTAGTCATATCTCTATCATCTATCTACCTATCTATATTTATATACCTATGGCAGATAGTATGTCTAGATTAAATATATAGATACATAAAAATATTCATTCGAAGTCATTCTATACTAAATATCATTCGATAGTTTTGATTACAAAGTCAAAATACAGAAACGGAAGTCTTATATTATGCCATGGAAAGTGGATGACTCTCATCGTGCAAGTGCAGTCTGTGTCCAAAAGAGGGAGCAGTGAAATCACAGATAGCATCATTTCTGACTTTTTGCTTCTGATATTTCTCAACTTAAGAGCCAGAGGACAGTAGGGAACTGGGAAAGGAGAGTATCAGCATTTGGGTGAACAGATCTTTGGAGTGAGCGGTTGTCTCGCACACTGCAGCTTTAGAAGCACTGAGCAGAACACCCACCCACCTGTGATTTTCTAAGTCCTTTCCTCTAACCTAAGAATTAAATACTTTTAAACATTCAATCATTATCAGGATGATATCCTTGTTGCTAGAAGATTTTCGTTCTTCTTCTTCTTTTTTCCTTTTTTTAATAGAGACAGGGTTTCACCATGTTGGCCAGGCTGGTCTCAAACTCCTGACTTCAGGTGATCCACCCACCTCGGCCTCCCAAAGTGCTGGGATTACAGGTGTGAGCCACTGTGCCCTGTCACTTTTCATTCTTCTTAAATGAACTGGTTAGAATCTAAAATATGTTCATTGTTTAATGAAAAATGGGTTCATGTTCTTGACTTTGATTGCTAAATCAGAAACATAAAAAGTAGGACATGTTGGCCATATGCAGTGGCTCACGCCTGCAATCCCAGCACTTTGGAAGGCCAAGGCAGGAGGATCACTTGATGTCAGGAATTCGAGACCAGCCTGGCCAACGTAGTGAAACTCCATCTCTACTAAAAATATGCAACTTAGCCAGGCATGGTGGCGGGCACCTGTAATCCTAGCTATTCAGAAGGCTGACACAGAAGAATCTCTTGAACCCAGGAGGCAGAGTTTGCAGTGAGCCGAGATCACGCCACTGCACTCCAGTCTGGCAACAGAGTGAGACTCCATCTTAAATAAATAAATAAATAAATAGAAAAAGTAGGACGTGTTTGTCAAAAGAGCCATGTTAAAATTTCTCAGAGCTTCAATAACTTTAAATTCTTCTTGATATGAAAAGACAAGTTTACTACTTAGATTTTATTAAGTGATATATTCATGATACATTTTATTAAATACTACATTCATGAGTTCCTCATGTAAATTTCACTTAAAGTTACTTAAATTTAATAAATACTATTTAAATAACCATCAAGGCCTGTGGGGGTACAGTACATTTTCATATTGGTGTTGTCCTGCATGTTGGGTCTCATGTTGTTCTGCATTATCCAGACAATTCAAGGAACAGGAGAGGCAGATGGCCAATAAACATACGTAAACATATTCATCCTTTCTAGTAATCAGGGAAATTCACGTTAGAATAAAAAGGAGAGGCCATTTTATACTCATCACACTGGCAAACATTTTAAAGTCAAATTTGAATTTGTAGGAAAAGGGACAGTTTTATGTATTACCAGAGGAGGTTAAATTATTAGAACCACTTTGGAGAGCAATTTAGTCCATATAATAAAGTGAATGATGCATACTTCCTACAATCCAGCAATTCCACTCCCCTTCAGTTAAAAACCTGGCTGCACATTAGATTCATTATCCCAGTGGGTTATCAACCCATTGCTCTATTAAGAAAATATTTTTGTTTCTTTTGAGGCAGGGTCTTGTGCTGTTGCCCAGGCTGGAGTACAGTGGAACGATCAAGACCCACTGCAGCGTTGACCTCCTGAGCTCAAGTGATCTTTCCACTTCAAGCTCCTGAATAGCTAAGACTACTGGCGCATGCCACTATGCCCAGTTAGTTTTTTAATTTTTTGTGGAGATGAGATCTCGCTATGTTTCCCAGGCTGGCCTTGAACTCCTGGGCTCAAGTGATACTCCCATCTTGGCCTCTCAAAGTGCTGGGATTGCAGGTGTGAGCCACTGTGCCCAGCCCCATGAGAAATTCTTGCACATGTACATAAGAAAACAAATTCAAAAATTTTCATAACATTGCTTATAACAAAAAAATGGAAATAACATAATGTCCATCAACATAAGTATAGAGAAATAAAATGTTGTATAGTCATTCAGCAGAAAACTAATAAAACTGTGGACAACTCTGGCACATGCAGCATGATTAAATCTCCCAAATACAGTTTTGAGAAGTAATAGGCAAAGAACACATACAGTGGAATTCTACATAGCAATGAAAATGAATAAACTAAACCTATAAATCAATCCTGTCCTAGTTTTCTACAGCGTCTATTAAAAAAGTTACTAGGCCAGGCATGGTGGCTCATGCCTATAAGTAATCCCAGCACTTCGGGAGGCCAAGGCGGGTGGATCACCTGAGGTCAGGAGTTCGAGACCAGCCTGGCCAACATGGCAAAACCCCAACTCTACTAAAAATACAAAAATTAGCTGGGCTTGATGGCGGGAGCCTATAATCCCAGCTATTCAGGAGGCTAAGGCAGGAGAATCGCTTGAATCCGGGAGGTGGAGGTTGCAGTGAGCCAAGATGGCACCATTGCACTCCAGCTTAGGTGACAGAGTGAGACTGTCTCAAAATAAGTAAACAAATGACAAAGATAAAGGGATAAGAATGTATCAACCTAACTTACTCTTGCCTTAGAGAACAAAGAAACAGGAAAATTAAGTCAAATCTACTCCTTTGTACTTCTTTCTCTTTTTAAATCAAGTCTAACTTCATGTATTCTCCTTTTGCTTTTTTTGAATTTTCTTCATTTGTATTCAAAGATAAATACAGGTCATATATAGGTAAGTACATATGTAACATA